ATTTTTGCTCTGCCTAGGTATTGCGCACTGTGCGGAAGGATAGAACAAAGCTAAGTATATATATATATACATGTACATGTACATAATATATGTATATAAAAACTGTCTAAAAGAATTATAAACAAATCCCACTCAATATATTAAATGCACGGCTGAAGGCATATTATGTTATGTTCACAGAGTATAGACTATACCAGAAGAATAAATAGATCTTCTTCATCGTCAATAACACCTATGAACAACAAATTTGAAGAAAATAAGTTATCAATATATACTGAAATATTATGAACAAGTATACAAGTGCTTCTAATCGGTGATTCGATAATTCAAGTTACACTTCTGCATTCTCAAAATTTAACGAGACTGTGTTCAGATTCCGTTCATTATGACATTAGACTATAATAATGTATCATGCTTCTTTTTGGGGGACCAATATATACAAATCTTAGTTATGAAGATGAAAATGTTGACAGGAAATGAGAGTTCAATAGCTATTATTCGAGCAAGCATGATAACAACCTATTATTTTAAGGAGTTTATACCATGCAGGCGCGTACGCAGGAGGGGGTTTGGGGGGTTAAACCCCCCCCCCTTTGGTATTTTTAGATGTGTAAAGCCCCCTAAAACTCCCCTAAAACCCCCACCCGCCCCCCCCCCCCCTTTGGATTTTTTTTAAATTATTTTTTTATTAAAAAAAAAAAAAAAAAAAAAATTACACCCACGGCTGACCTAAAAAAGGTGACCTTACCCCCCCCCCCCCCCAACGGAGCAAAATGTCAAATTTTCAAATTTCGAGACCAAAAAAAAAAAAAGTGTCCTCTTACCCCCCCCCCCCCCCCCCCCCCCTTCCGCTTATTCAGCGGCTGACTGAGTCGTTGCGAAATTTTCGACCCGATTTATAAATGTTAAACCCCCCCCCCCCCCCCCACCCCCTTGAAAAAATCCTGCGTACGCGCCTGGTATTATATACAGCCAACAAGTGAAATATCTTTATCCCCAAATAGAGTTCAGTCGCTTTGTTTCCTTTCATAAATGCACTTGCAAAACAAAACAAAAAAACTATGCTAAGCTAAACCTTAAGCTAAGCAAAGTTTGCCCACAATGTTACTTTTGTTTTCAATGCTTGTTTCGAAAATGCGGTAATTATCTATCAACCAACTTAATTTTGGGCATAAATGTTGCAATTTGTATCTGTATTTCTGGGTTATCTTGCTTCTTGTCGTAATTTACGTTCACTTTAATTCAAAGCCAAATGAAGATTCCCTCTTGGTACCCCTTACTCGTTATCATCTATCAATTTAACAATCAGTTGGAACCTTTTTAACAAAATGACTAATACTTTTACTCAAAACATATCTTAGTTTTAATTCTTGTCCTATTTTCTTCTCGGCCTGTCTGATGATTCTATTCAACATAGTGAAGTCTCCTTTACGACAACTTGTGTACCAGAGTACACAATCATACGCGACGATACTTTCAATTACTGATTTATAGAAGTAGGCCATTATGGTGCGACCGACATAAATGTTTTCAATTTTCTTTAAAAATGCATCCGTTGTAGTCCCTTCTTGTTAATTGCTTTACATTAATCCGCGCCCCCCCCCCCCCCCTCCTCCTTTGGCGGCCAGAGAAAAAGAGAAAGAGAAATGGGGGAAATAATCATGCATGTGGCACATGTCATGAAAACGTCATTGACATTGTCATTAACCATGTCTTTTATGAGTTATGAAGCGAACAAAATCCATACAGAAAGAAAGGAAACTAATGAATAGGTGCTATGCTACGTTACGCGGCAGATAACCTAATTATAAACGGCTGGTTCAGATGTAACAAGCTTTTATTGAATTTTAAGAAAGCAAAGTACATGTATGTATTATTCCATTCTAAAAGGGGGTAAATCCTTCAAACACTGACCGGATTAGAATTGAAAATACTGTTATTGAGAGAGCTGAGCCATTAATTTTCTTATGTATTCCTATTCATGAGTCACTTGACTGGAAGTATCACATTACTAATATATCTTCTAAGCTTTCAAGAAGTTAAGGTGTTTTATCCAAACTCAGATATGTTAAACCCACCAATCTATATTGATAAACTATTTATTTTACGAAAACGTGCAATACGACTGATAAAACAGAGTGACTTTCGTAATCCCAGTCTACCACTATTTGTTGAATTAAAAATCCTCCCAGAGTTTGAACTATTAAAACTTAATATATCACTTTTCATGCATAAGTATCACAAAGGGATTCTCCCAGTATTTTTCGATAATATGTTTAGAACTACTTTCTTCATTCCTTACGTATCACACTCGTACAGGGGATTCTCTTTGTGTTCTCATTACCCGTTCAACTTTAAGAACCCATTCTATCCATTTTAAAGGAGTACATTGAATAGAATTCAATTTGCAATAACATAAAATCCAACGCCACACTTTCTCGTTTTAGAACTCTATTCAAACGTTACATTTTTAAAACATTAATGTCGTCCATGGCTGAATAGACTCTTTCCTATCTTTCTCTTTCTCACCTCTTCCCTTTCTTCTCTTTCTCATTCTGAACTCTCCCTTTTTTCTTTGTACTGCTCTTGTGTGATTGTGGATGAGTATATACGGTATACATGGGTGAAACCTGCTGATAGTTGTTTTTTTTTGCTTTGAAGACCTAGAAAATTGTATTTATTTCGCTATTTAATTTAATATTGAGTTAACCTTTATAGGGGCCTCATGTAAAAGCACAAGTTGCTTCTCAGAGGTCCTAAAAGCTGGCCTATTATTTATTCTGTATTTATGATTTGTAATGTTTGTTATGATTCCAAATAAACTGAATTACCATAACATTTAATTTAGAGGAATACGACCAATATTAGTTTGTTTTGACAATATAGACTCTGTCAGAGACAATATTTCCTCACACTTTCTCTCTCTCTCTCTCTCTCCTTCTTCTCTCTCTCCTCCCTCTACCCCTCTCCCTTTCTTTTTAAATATCTACCTTGTTAATAGTTCTTTGGGACTTTTCTAGACTCTTTTGATCCCTAGATAATGTGAGGTGACCACTGCTCCCGGATGAGGAAAGAAAGATCACGAGAGTTCAAAATAACAGGAAATAACACCCACTTCGTATTCGGCCTATAGGCCTACTTTGTAAACCCGGAAAATCATGTAATTTCAGCAACATTGTAAATCAATGTTATCTATCTAATTAGAAATAAACCGCGTTTGATTTTCAATATTGAGTCAACATGATAGAATAATTAAACATCTTTGTTAGAGGAATATCATTTCGAGCAATATTTATAGATAAGCAAAAATGTTTCAGTGAGTAATGGACATCAGACCGCAAAAAACAGTTACTAACAAGAAAGTAAGACGGACTGAAATACTTCTCAAGAATTTGGAATTTGTAGAGATAGAGTTTATATGATTTTTCAGAGAATTGTTTTGTTTTCCGTAAACGAGCAAACTTGTTTGTTAAAGGTTGCAGAGTCCTTCAGGAGAAAATTGATGCAGATCTGATGAGTGTCCTGTTTGAACACGAAGAACATTGTCGAGTTGTATGTTGATTATAGGACAACATTCTATTAATTGGTTTCATTGTATTCCTAGTAAAATGCTCACATTTTATTCACATTCGAGTGGTTTTTAAACTATTCTACACATAGGCTTGCGGGTGCACCATGTGAGAGAGAGAGACGGAGAGAGGGTTGAGGAGTCCTGGAAAGGACTCTGACTCGGTAATCTTTCTTGGGGGTGTGTAGTCCTGAAAAGGACTGTTTGTTATCTTTCTTAGCTTATAGTTCTAAGGAGAACTATAGCGCTTGGAGAGGATGAGTGGCTCACATGCAGTATGGTTTCCGGCACTGTCTACATGGTCCAAACGATAAAATAACTAAATATTTGGATGGCCTAGCTGCTTCTATACCGTGTGAGTCAAAAAAAAGTTTACACCTAGAAAATTGCTAATTATTTTTAAAAATCATCTATGAACAGTAAATTATTATACATCTTATGAAAGAGTGTTTTATCCCAAATCAATTGGTACTATTTTTGTGTGGTATGTGTTCACGCTTGGATGAACAGGTGGCATTGTTTGCGAGAGTGCAAAAATCGACTTGCGCCAAAGTGATGCCTACAGTATGTATTATGTTGGGATTACCGGAGTAAGAGAATGAATTGAATGTATCAAGTGAAATGCATTGCCTATGTTTTTTGCAAAGGGCAAAGTCACACACACCCACACACACGCGCACAAATGTTCGTTGATATTTGATATTCGATATTTGATATGTGTGGCATGATTAATTTTGTTAGGGATGTCATTTGGATCTGCAAAGACCGAGTTAATACCCAAATCCCAATTGTTTTATTCAAACATAACAAACATCACTTTGGCGCAAGTCGATTTTTGCACTCTCGCAAACAATGTCTCCTGTTCATCCAAGCGTGAACACATACCACACTAGAATGGTACCAAATTATTTGGGATAAAACACTCTTTCATGAGACATATAAAAATTTAATGTTCATCGATGAATTTTTTAAATAATTAGCAATTTTCTAGGTGTAAACTTTTTTTTGACTCACACGGTATATTCTGTCTCATTTTCTCTTTCAGTTTCTCCCACCCCTATTTTCAACTCTCCCCCTCTCTCTCTTCTCTGTTTCTATCCTCTCTCTTTCTCCCATCTCTCTCTATTCTTCTCCTCCCCCTTCTCTCTCGCTCTCTCTGTCTCTCTCTCTCGTCCATCTATATCTCTCTCTTACTTTATCTCACTTTTATTAAATTTAAATATACTCTTCGCAAGTCTTTTCACTCAAGAATTTTTTATTTCGGATGATCTGCAGTTTTTTCGAAACCACTCTTTCACTTTATCAACATTAATACTCGCAGAAATGTACCTGCCGATTGTGATTTACATAATATTTAGGTTCAAAAGAATCAAGAGATAAATACGTTTTATCAACCTCGGAAGACAAAAAAAACAGAATTATATACAAATGATACAAAACGTTTAAGACTTTATTAAAAATAAAACATCACATGTTGGACACTTCCTTTTGAAAGGATTTGAAAGGATGTAATAGATAATCAATATCAACCTGGTTTAACTTAAGACACATAGATAGATATAAACATCAATAATCATGGTCCCGATAATGGTGTGATATTATGAAATTCCCAGTTTCTCGTTTTGGGTTAAAGAACGACCCTTGTATTTGTAATCCTCTCATGTCACTAACCTCTTGCTAACAATGATTACATTTCTCTTTTTACTTGTGTTTTCCCCATTTGATATATTTGTTTTTTATCCAGTGATGAAATAAATACTATATAAATGAAAACGGTTTCAAAGAGCTGCAAACGGGACGAGAAACTGGGAATTCAATCATTTACAGTAACCACGTGCTATAGTGTGCAAGGTACTGTTGCCCTCTGATAATTAGAAGTGTACTACTATTCGAATTAAACTAAATGACATATAGATCGGCTTTGGATTCTATGAGAAAACAATATGAAAATGCATTTTAGTTTGAATCAGCCTTTGCAGGCTTCACCTTCAAACTTCATACGTTTACCGACTCAAAACACATAAAATCTTTTCTAGTCTATACACACCCACCCAAAACACACTGTAGCATTGTAATTGTTTTGGGTCTATACTTTACAGCAAACTTTTTATTCTGTCTGAACATTCTGATTGGATTAGTTCTATTAGTTCAAATGAAGAGGTGGATGGTTTTGCTGAATGTATAGTACACAATAGCTTGCAAAATATACATATCATTACATTAGATTCACCTCTCTCAATTTTTAGTCAAATAATACTTTACATCTTTAAAGACCCAAAGGATACAAAATAAGAAAAATGAAAAAATCTCCAGTTGGTTGGAGTTTTTGAATAATGATATTCCATGTACTTATATCAAAACATAGAGTGCTTCATAAAAACCAAAAACGATGTCTTGTCGAATGCGGTATCAAATATGTATATTATTTCCATATTCATGTTAAGTCAGCTGTATATTATGTAATGATATAAATATATTGTGAAAGACAAGAGAAAGAGAGATAGACTACTCGAATTATAGATGCAAGCCATCAGACATATTATCCATAATATATTATCAGTAATGGTTGGAGGAAAACAGCGCTGCTGTCATAACATTTGTAAAATGCAACAACGTGCGTATATAGTACATAAACAGGACATTCATTTTTATTACGGTACATTAAATTATTTTTATGCTCGAGTTATGAACCTGAAGTTTATTAGTGAAAACGGCTTCTTATTTTCACACCGTTATATAGGCTAACATTTTCATTTAACGAAATTTCCAATTTGGTTCAAACTTTTCCAAATATTTTTAGATGCAAACTGAAGAGTTAACGGAAAATAATTTCTTATTGATTACCAATCTTACAAGTCTCATTATTGCTCAGGCGAGCATGGTGGAGTTTTGTCAATGCGCCAAAGTCAAGAACTTCACAGGTTGTATTTCATTCGGGAGGACGTAGATGTGGTTACCATGGTCACTGCTTGAAGAAGCTTCCAGCGAGTATGAGGATGGGATAGCATCACTCCAGAGGAGGACGAGTAGGAGATGAAGGAAGGAAACGCTTTACATGAACCTTGCAGCCAACACACTCAATGTTAAGTAGAAAACGCTAGATACAGTCAAGGCCGCAGATGAAGTAGGAGTAACAGCCATATTTGTACCATTCTGTAAGAAATTAAAAATGGATAAAAAAAAAAATCATAATTCAAGAGGAATAATAGTCAGAATAGGATGACATGACAATCAGAACGCGAGTTCTAAAAGAAATACAATGCGGTTCAGCGAGCCGCTGTAAACCGCTGCAAAAGACTGTCGCAATATTTTGCTTTCTTTTTCTTATGTTTTATTACGTGGATATAAATGGCAACGGTCCCAAGCATAGTCAGTGAGCTCTGTGTTGTAAGATACAAACTGTGACGCGTAATACACGTACGTCATAAAAAGATCGCCTCGGTTAACCGCGTCAAATCTAAACGAGGCTTTACTCGATTAATAGGTTAAGCGCGTCATATCTAAACGAGGCTTTACTCGATTAGGTTAAGCGCGTCATATCTAAACGAGGCTTTACTCGATTAGGTAAACCGCGTCATATCTAAACGAGGATTTACTCGATCAGGTAAACCGCGTCATATCTAAACGAGGCTTTACTCGATCAGGTAAACCGCGTCATATCTAAACGAGGCTTTACTCGATCAGGTAAACCGCGTCATATCTAAACGAGGCTTTACTCGATCAGGTAAACCGCGTCATATCTAAACGAGGCTCTACTCGATTAGGTTTCTTTGCCCGTTCGGGGTAGAGTCTCAAACCATAATCATGAGTAGGCAGAGATGTCTTGTACAGTATGGATAACCAGCTGAGATGGCATTTCTCTGTCCATACGATGTGATAGTGGTTGAAGAATACGGATTGAAATCGCTGATCATAATGAACAGCGAAACCTGATCCAGCAAGGTTAATCACATCATTAACTCTTAACTCATATACTTTTAACTCTTAAATCATCTCATATTACTACATCTCATGCTTTGATTTTCAGGTAACTGCTACCCCCTAAAAAAAAGGGCTCATGACACATGCACATAGCGACAACTCATGCTATAATGCGTAAGTCCCCCCCCCCCTCCCCCCAAAAAAAAAATAATAATAATAATAATAATGATAACAATAATGATAACAATAACAATGATAATAATAAATAAATAATACACTCATTATTATTACTCATGCTATGATGCTCAAGTCCTCTCTTCCAACGAAAAAAAAAAAAATATTAAATAAAATAAATCATACACTCATTATTATAACTCATGCTATGATATTCAAGTTCTCTCTTCCAAAGAAAAAAATAATAAATTAATTAATTAATTAAATCACACACTCATTATTATAACTCATGCTATGATATTCAAGTACCCCCCCCCCCCCCTCCCAGGAAAAAATATATATATCATAACACAACAATCATACACGCACATAGTGTATTATACTCCTGAAGAGGGCCTGCTTATGCGTAATATGGGGGCCATTTCTTTTTCTTTTTCTGTTTAATACAATTAGACACTTGTACTTTTTAAACTTCTTTGTAATATTTCCTTGATAATTATCGTTAGTTCACAGAATATCGAAAGGGACGCTACCCGCTTGTATCTCGAGCAACAAAATTGAATTCGAATTTGAATTTGAACACATATTTCTTTTCTTTTCATTAAAAAAAAATTAAGAAGAAAAAAGTTGTAAAGAGTATTAGTAGTAATTTGATTTATTCTCATCTCCATATTATATTCCTTTTTTTTTTGCCATTCCTGGCTAATGTCATTTTGACTTTTGCACTCAATAATCTATGTTACATTATCATTTTGAAATTCGTTAGCAGTTTTAATTAAAAAAATTAAAATGATCCTATTTGTTTGGATTATATTCAATAAGATTGAATTGCATTACACTTATTACTCTAAGTCATGCCAAGCTTTTCAAGCGCAGCCTCCACCAACCCGGAAAAGGGAGCTTTATTCATGCATAGAAACCGGCATAACAACAAGCGCCCTATGATGGATACCTGTGATTTTGTTGTCATAGTTGCTGGTGTTGTAGCCTGGGAATATTGGAATACAAATAAGTAATGAATAGCTTGCATCTCCTCCCTGCTTTCTCTCTCTCTCTCTCTCTCTTTGTGTGTGTGTGTGTATGTGTGTGTGTCTCTCTCTCCCTCTTTCTTTCACACACAAAAAAACACACACACGCACACACCCCACACACACACCCACCTACACATTTCTTTTCTTTTCTCCCTCTCCAACCCCCCCCCCTCCCTTCTCTATATATCTCTCTCTCTCTTCTTCTCTTCTCTCCGCCCCCACCTCTCTCTCACATTGTCACACACGCACACACACACACACACACACACACGCACCAAACACACACGCACGCACACGAGAGAGGTATGAACAAGATGTAGAGACGGGTGAAAGTGCGGAAAGAAACATGAACATATAGGATATGCTATATTAAGTTGGATTTTCACTTTGGATTGTACTATAGAACCTGTGATGTTCGCAATGATGAGTCAACAATAAAAAAATATTGAGCTAATTTCAGAGCCACCAAAAGATAAGAGATAACTAGATAATGATGACAAATCACCAATATTCCCCTGACATCCCCACTGGTTCTACAGACATTTTGGTTCACCTACACATGATTTATCCTCCTATACTCAATGGTCCTAAACACAACGGATCCTACACTCAATTAGTCCTAAACAAATCTGATCCTAAACATTATTAACTCAACTTAATGTTTCTTGGTCCTAAATAGGCTACACTCCTATACACCATAGGTCGTACATGCCATCGATGATGCACACGATTGGTCCTAGTCTACACATTACTATTCATGTATGATATTAGTCCTAAGCACCATTATGTCCTCTACTTATGTATAGTTTTAGTGTTAAGGTCTAATTAACCCAGGGTTAAACAGATTATCCAATAAAGGTACGGTACAACATGTGACTACTATACTGACAACACTCCATCCACACTTTACACTGAGTGTTAATCATCCATTGCATCGGACCGAGGAGAAACAGCGATGTCAAAATTATAGACTAATATCTTCTAAGCCTGAAAATCTAAACTATTTTTAAGAATCATAATTGGCAGAATAGGGCACCCATTTAGATAAATAAAAGTGATGTAATTTCAATTATTTCTGCATCTTGGATTTGCACTTTAGGTAATAAGGGAAAGTTGTATTTCTAAAAAAAAAACGTAGGAACGCATGTATAAGGCCAAGATCTAACCTTGGGCCGTTTTTAGGGATTTTCCAACACAATTTCATTACCCATGTTTCGAATTGTTTCCTCCTAAAAAGCGACCTTTTACATCGGCATAAACCTCGTATACACCCCGTTTACCATTCCCGGAGAGCCCCCCCCCCCCCCCCTTGGGCCGTTTTTAGGGATTTTCCAACACAATTTCATTACCCATGTTTCGAATTGTTTCCTCCTAAAAAGCGACCTTTTACATCGGCATAAACCTCGTATACACCCCGTTTACCATTCCCGGAGAGCCCCCCCCCCCCCCCTTGGGCCGTTTTTAGGGATTTTCCAACACAATTTCATTACCCATGTTTCGAATTGTTTCCTCCTAAAAAGCGACCTTTTACATCGGCATAAACCTCGTATACACCCCGTTTACCATTCCCGGAGAGCCCCCCCCCCCCCCATGGCCCCCATCCCATCCCACCCCACCAAGGTTAGTTCTGGTTAACCTAAGCCTCATCACTAATTCCACTTTAATGTTACAGCCTTTTGAAAGAAGTGCGGCAGAGTATCGAGGAATAAGTACACTTTCCGTATTATCAAACATCAAATAAATATGATAAAACACCAATAGAATTCCAACAATTGAATAAAATAAAATATACCCATCGTCACAGGCGGTAAGTATGAAGATAAGTTGACTGAATAATTAAATACCAATAGGTAAGAAAACAGCGTGAAAACCAGGTATAATTTAAATAATAGTTAGAGGAAAACAGGATCCTGTACATATTAGTATATGATAAGGATAAAGATGAAAAGGTTCCCAATTTTTATATTTTATTGACCTTTTTTGAGTTTTCAAAATTACAATAATAATATGTCATACTTATATAGCTCGAATGTCATTATGCGCTGTAATATACTCTGATTGTTACTTTAAACCTTAAACTTACTTTAACCTGCAAAGTGAAAACTATTTATTTTTAATCCTTACCCCTCCAGGTGCCATCGTGGAGTTTGGAGTTGTCACCGGGTCAACCGTAGTCGTATTTACTGCAAAGGCCATAGCAACCAGAGCAATCAGAACAAGGCACGTAAGAGTGGTCTTCATCTTGTCAAACTATTCTTTAGTCTCGTACAAGTAATGCTGAATAACTGTATCTCTCTCAGTAATTCTTTAGTCACTTGTGATTTGTAGCCGGAGCGATGTTCGAAGACGTCGATAGTTTAGGGCTGTGATATCCGGTGTGATGTGCGATATGATATTCGTCTGAGATCAAACGGAAAGAAAACTTTACGGGCGTGGCGGCGGGAAGAGCGTCGTCGTAGAGATTCGACCAATCAGCGCTCAGCTTGGTAATAACGCGCAATGTTTTTATTGAGAGTAAAGTGATTCGCCTAACACTTACGTGGCTTACACAAGATTGAGAAAATCTGTTATTTGGCCGTAGCATTATATGATTTCGGAGCAAAAAAATATACACGGGTTGTTAGTAGCTTATGTGCTTTTCAAGTGGTACAACGTATACTTAATTCAGAGTCGAGACTAACAGGCAATAACGCAATCATTTATGTGTAAACATGGCTTATGCCTCCCAGTATAATACGCATTGCACAACAATGCTAAATGATATAGAATAAATATGAAATAAAATTTAAAAATTGAAGCTAAATTTCAACGTTGGAAAGGTATCTTTAATTTTAAATACCTGAATATCTTAACAAAACAAAAGTCCCATACTGTGTTTAAAACAAAAATTAAAACTATACTATAGATAAATAATTTCTCAAATAGTAAAAAATATTATATTTCATATAATGTTACACACGATTAATAATTGTGCTACCAATTACTTAGATGTTCATTTAGATCAATGAGCGAGTGAGTATACGGGCGTGAATTGGTGGTGGTGATGGACTGATGGTATGTGTGTGTGTGTGTGTGTGTGTGTGGGTGTGTGGGCGGGTTTGCCGATGTTCTCAATGCATTATTGCTTTATATTAATATAAACATAATGATAATAATGATAACAATGATAATTAAATTTGTTAATACCGATAATAATAATAATAATAATAATAATAATAACAATCATAATAATAATAATAATAATAATCATAATAATAATAATAATAATAGTAATGATATAAATAAATATAATATAAATCATAATAGTGCAATGATGTTGATAATGATTATTATGATAACTAATTATCATAATTACTATCATCGATAATGATGAAAGCAATGCAGACGATAATTGAGTAAATGATAAATATCCACAAGAAAAAATGTTCATATCTTTACCATGTTTTCCTTTTTCACAATAATAGTTGACATCTCCTACATAAACCACACAAGGCCTATATTATGTGATGAAAAATAAAAGTCCTACTGAAAAATAACAGAGAGGGCAGCGTATCATCAAATGGGCTGTTAATTGAAACAGAAAAATATAGATATCATGTAGACTGCCCCTCTCTCTCTCTCTCTCTCTCTCTCTCTCTTCTCTCTCTCTCTCTCTCTCTCTCTCTCTCTCTCTCTCTCTATCTCTCTCACACACACACTCATGTGGTGACTGTGGTATCTAATCTGGGTGAAAGAAAGTACTTACAATACTCTAGTCAAGGGTCAATCTTTGAACAGCGCTATCTACGACTAGAAGCCATATACTCATTTCGTGGTGAACTCGTTCAAACCAGGGAGTTACTCCCTGTTCAAACATTCAATTTGCTCGAATCTACACATTCTGATTTGAGGGTGCGGAGCAACTTTAGAATACCCCACCACAAAAATCGACCAGCCGTTCGTAGGGTATCTAACTCTTCACCAATGAAGCTAAATCTCAAGACTTAAGTTTCTTAAATGACACTCAACCTATTCCTAACTCTAACCCTAACCCTAAACCTAAACCCAACCTTAGGTCTTTAAAGTATATGTACATTAACCCTATTGGTAGGGTATTATAACGTTAAGCCGAGGAAGCTCATTGAATTCTGACATTCTAAAGATGAATAACAGCTTTGATTTTATTGATTCCGTAAAATACAAATATTTCCTGATAAAATTTGTTTGATAGCAACTCGCCCGTCATGCTTTCAAATAATGACTTGATTGAGAACGTGTTTACCACATTATCTAAAGCAACTCACACGATGTCGGATCTTTCCCGATAATGTGCCCCTAAAATGAAATAGAAACAAATGCGGAAAAGAAGAGAGAGAGAGAGAGAGAGAGAGAGAGAGAGTGAGAGAGAGAGAGAGAGAGAGAGAGAGAGAGAGAATATACTTAGGAGAAAGATTGTCCACCCACAATATAAGAATAGAGCACGAATGAGCTCCACCTCAAGTTGTTATGTTGTTAATCATGACCAAATGGTTATTACGCCTGTGATATTTATATGGCTACATCTTATTTTTCTTGATTTTGTTTTTTAAATTTAAGAGGTAAATAATTCAAATTCAAAAAGAACTTACTGTACGTAACACTTGGGACCTTCTGAAATTGTTCTATTGCAATATACATGATTCTTCATGGAGTTGATTTTTTTCTGATGCGGAACAAATATTTCATGAGGATGGTTTAGATAATTAGAATTTATTTCTACTGATTTGTTTGATGTTTGGGGGCGTTTTTTGTTACAATAGGCATACATATTACTATGACAACCATATAATTTTGTCTAGTTAATTTATTCATTACACTTTCCTGAATAGCAGTGGCGTAATGAGCGAAAGCTATTTGGGGGGCAGAAAGAAGAAGAAAAAAACGGCGAAATCATGTCATTTCAGCAACATCTGTAAATCACTGGTATCGAATAGAAATAACCCACGTTTGAATTTATTTGGGGTGGAGGCAACTGCCCCAAGCCCCCCCCCCCCCCCATCAGTACGCCAGTTCTGAATACCTAAATAACTCAGCATGGTTGGTGATATGTTAACCTATAAAATAAACGCTTTACGTCCATCAGATGAGATGACTTGATAACTTTGTTTACTTCCTAATTACACTATAATAATATTAATAATAATAATAATAATAAAAATAATAATATTCAATTTTTATATAGCGCTTAATACAAATGTCTAATGTTACAAATGTCTACAAATAATGGCTTCTTATATCGCCCAAGTCATGTCTGCCACGTCGTGACGCTCCTGGCGCTGCCCGATTATTACTCCGGTTTTAGCCAGGCGGCCACTATGGCGCTCTAGTATTTCAAGGAATTAATTCCTGCCAAGGTATACCCACTTCCATCACCTTAGTTGAAAACTCATCAAATTTATTCATATCTTCTTGGGATTTAGCTTACAATGACGCCGCGTAGATGACTAGAAACCTTGGTTGAAACTTCCCACATAAATCAATCACAATACGTTCGACTATGTAAGCAGAAAAATCACTAACCTTACTTCGGGCCTCAAGGCCGACCTCAATAACCCGTTTTCCGTACATATATAATCTAAAAAGCAATTTTAAAATTTGTAAAAGTTAAAAAGGATTCATTTAATGTCGTTTATTAGTATAAACTGTCTACTCTATCATGTCTAAGGAGGTAATGGCGTATGCTGATGTTGAAAGGCGGAGGTGGAACCTCACGAAGGAGGGTGTACAGGTGTAGGGGTAAAGCCTGCACCCCTATAGACCTCTTCCAAGTTATGCTCTTTTGTTTGTTTGTTTGTTTGTTTTATATACGGTATACAAAAGACATCATGCATTCAGTAAAACAATTACGAATAGAATTATGAGCTACAAAATAAAATAAACGGCTGGATAGCCCATATTTATTTCCACTCCTTTAATGAACAGTGGGAATCAACGCTTGGGGGGAGGGGGTGGGAGTCACTGTATAGGATCACTTCGTCAAAACCAAGTCTGAAAACAATCCGGTCGAATTCGAATTGTTCAAACGACTATTTTAGAACGGATTCCATGTAATTACAGTTAGAGTGAATTAAACTCCAAAGGAAGTGATAACATGACTCCTAAAAAGGCTGATTCCCTTTATCCTGTGTATAGGCCTTAAAGTGGAGGAGGGGCATACCGGCTACACCCAAAGATAATACGCAAATGCTATCTATCTAATAATAATAATACATAGGATTTATAAGGCGCCAAATCCACTTGAAAATCAAATGCTCAAGGCCCGGCTTCTGTGAGAGATGAAATACATGATAAATATATACACAAGTGCAATAGAAAAGATACGGACATGAAAGGTAATGGTAATCAATAGGCTAAATTAAACAGATTTACAAATTTGCAAATTGTGTCGTCAACAACATCCAATCAGATCTGTTCAGATGGCGAGACCGTCGGACTAAACTTGTAGCAGCGACTTCTTCTCTTTGCCCGTTCCTACCTCGAGCAGACTTTCTTTATCTTCACCTCCCTTCCGACGTCGACGACGACATCGAATACATATACACACGATCCAGCAGACGACCACGCTCATGATACCGAGTATGAGGAGGAGGAGGATTTTAAAGATGATAGGGAGGGGTCTCAGGGTGCCACATAACCTGTCAATCAATTCGATAAAGGCATTGTTGTTGTTGCTACCCATCCAGTCGCATTTGGGTGTCTGTAGATGAGAATGATAAAAAGAGCAGGAATGTAATGCTTTTGATGGTGAACAAAAGATATCATTTAAAAATAATAATTAAGGCTGTTACATTACATTAGAAATATGAATGAGAATTTAACTTTCAAGGAATGTAGACTCTATAAACACCATGTAATTTAGTCCAATCAAAATAGCTCATTTTAGTGGTAACCAAAACTAATTGCAAAAGAACTATTTATTCCACTGCAGTGTACTGTAAACAACATTCTAAAAGTTGAGGAAAATCTAAAATAATGCAATAAAGATATTTTCAAATTAATATAATGACTATTATATATAAAATGTGAAAATTAACACCTACTATGAAAAGAAATTCATATTTTTCATAATTTATCCGAATTAAAAAAAAAACTGCCACACATCTTAATATTAATAAACATGGTAGACACTTTTTGATGTCCAAATTGTGCACCCAATTTACGTATTAAGCAAAAAAGGCGTTCGTCATAAAAAAATTATAATTCATATTTCTCTATTAGTTTGCATCTAAGTTTCCAATTGACACAAATCAGGTGTGGAGAACGATGTTTTAAAGGGCAGTGTAAGATGGATACATCTCCAAATCAATGTAATGAAAATAATTGTTATAATGCACAAATAATCTTCATAAATATAGAAATTAAAATTCATATTTTCATCTTAATATGGTTGTAAATAACCAATGTGAACTAATCCAATGCTCAATCTAATATTTTCAAAGTCAGTGACCAAGGTGGATACAATCAATAACGATCCATTCAAGTCATATACTACTATTGATGTTGTCTATGGCTGTGCCCTACTGCTCCCTCCTGAAACATTTCAGGGACGCCCCTGTGTACTACATCGCTATTAAACAATATAAAAGAAATATATAAATTCAGGTTACATAGCCTACTGTTAAGTTCGTCAGTTTTTCTGCAACGCCTTCTTCATAACCGCTAGTAGAGGGAATGTCGCCATAGAAGTCGTTTTCTTTAGACGCCGAATCGTTGTCGTCACCTTTGTCGTTCACGACCCAGAACTGCGGAGGTAGTTCTGTCGGGGCCGATTCAATGGATGCCTTAACGAAACTGGTCGACGGTCGTGATACTCCGTCGCCTTCCAATACGTTAGCATACTGGGATGCGGTTGCTGTTGATGACTTGTTGCTTAGCAACGTAGTGCTCATATCAACATCTGTCTTATTTTGATAGTCACTCTGGCCTAACTCTAATGGCGTCGTATCAACTGTAAGAGGTCGTGGTGACGTCACCACCCCTGCTCTGTCTGTTTGGGATGTGTTCCTGTTTGAAACTGTATTAATGACCGATGTGGTGTTCATTGATAGCTGAGTCAAATTACTTTTTGCTTCAGTTCCCCCTATTTGAAACGCTAGTGTTACGTTTTCTTGTTCGACTGTTCTATTCCTGCCATCTGTGTCAACTATTTCATGTTCATTCGATTCGTTTTTAGGGTGGTCGTCTTGAAGAGATGACGAGTTGTCTCCGGCAGGTTGTTCCATGACACTGTTGATCTGTTCAGTGCTGTTCTGCTGTGGATCTTGCCCCTGTCCGTCGTTCTTCAGCTGATCCTGCAGACCTTGATGTTCTTGGTAATCTCGGAAGATGGCAAGGGCTTCTTTGAGAGACATATTTGGGTCTAGAAATGGGAGTGATTGTGACATCACTGTTTCCACATTGGAGGTCGACAACTGAGTTGCAGAGTCGATAGACCCGTCATCATTCTGGACGTTTATAGCTGGAGAAACTGTTTCTGATTGAGATAAAGCTGTAATACCATCGCCTTCGACGTCCAAAGAGCTGATGTCTGTAACGGTTACTTCTTCATAGACAACAGTAGTAGCGATTTCAAAGCCGTTATCACTCCCGTCATCGTTCACGGTTTGGTCGTCGATTGGTTTATCAGGGTTTGTCTGATTAGTCTCTGGTATGATGTCGGCGTCGGGTTCTTTCTGATCATGCATGACCTCCGAAAGCTTGGAGAAGATGTCGATCCACGCGTCAGGTGAGATTGTGTCGTTCTGAAATGGACAATGAACACGTCAATGATTGGGGGTTATCGTAGTTCTGTCCGCAATACGAAGGCTAGAACGATTTTTTTTATCTCGAACATAGTCATTCACCATTAAGGAATGGACCAGTTTCCTAATGATTGCATGTACTTGGGCAATATTATTCTAACTCTTGTCCCAAGTTTCTTTGCTTAATGCAAGCCAGAGAGTTAGGTTCGATACAAATCAATTATAGTAAATTGAATATTTCGTCACGATTGCTCTAAAAGCAAAGACTAGTCTAGCAAATAAAAAATGCAGTAATCCAAAGATTAACACAAAAGAAGAAAAAAAATCATTTCTGAAATTATCAGCTTCATGTACAATGCTGTATGTGGCATATTGAGAAATGACCCGCGCTATTTGATAACATGTCATGAAGTATTCATAAATACAAAATACACAAGTAAATGGTTTATTTGTTTCTGTGTATAATACGCATAGACGAACTGTTTGAGTAACGTCGGCCCAGTATAGTACATCGTTATATTTCCATTTTTGCGAGAGAAAAAAAATTGTGTCAGCTGTTGGAAATTGATTCGAGCTGATCGAACAGCGACACGGGTAAACACAAGAGACAGACAGTGTTAATGGTTCCTCTTTCTCTCTCTCCCTCTCTCCCCCCCCCCCCCCTCCTCCCTCTCTCTCTCTCTCTCTCCCTCTCTCTCTCTCTCTCTCCCCCTCTCTCTCTCTCTTTTTCTCTCTCTCTCCCTCTTTATCACTCTTTATCATTTTATTTACAATGAACACAAAATTTATCGATGGCCGTTTTCCTGATTTTTAAAAATATATACAGTAGTAACAATGCTAATTATCATTGCTTACTCTGGGGTTTTTTTCCAGATCATAATTCAAATCGATTTCCCTTTTACATAGCCGTTATGAAATATACCAATTAGCATTAAATTTAGGTAGAATAGAATTACTGTCAATACGTGTAATAATAACTGAAAGCGGCGAACATCTTCTACTTAGTCTATGGTATCAGGCTTATGTCAGTTGGCGTTAGTGGCATTTTGTTTAACGGTGTGTGTATTGGGTTTTTACAGACGTGTATCAATCAGATATGATTATTTTCGTCTGAGGACCGACCTTTAAACGTCACCATCCGAAAGACGTGACTCAGTTTCGAACCTGCGTCCTCGGCTGAATCAATTTGGCGCACGCCACAACGCCTAGCAATTAAAGAATCATTAATTTGCTTTTACTAAAAGACAGTGATTAATCAAGATCACCACATAGTGCTATAGTAGCCCTTTGTACTCGAATCTCTATTTTTTCTTTCCTTTTAAATTAATTTCTTTATACTTTTGTTGTATCAGTTGCCATGGTTGTATAAATTTGAAATAAAAAAGGAAAGGAAGAAAATTTAGCACCTGAGTATAAATTCGTGGAGTTACGTTCTATGAAAACGTTTGACCAAACCTTATGTGAAACATAATCGGGAAAGGGTATATTTCATCAGATAAAAACGTAAGTGACAAATTAATGAGTAGAAGATAACCAATCAAAATTTACCTTGATTCCTTCTGGGATTTTCACCTCGTCGCTCAGTTGAGCTGCTATGTCAGTGATGATACAAACATACAACAATCCAACGAGTAAGACTTTCATTGTTCCGTTTGATGAGGCGGAACCGCTCTATCAGAATGATGAAACTATTTTAGAAGTACCTGGTTTTATCGTGCAATTGCCCTATTTCAGGATCCTGCGATTATCGAAATCTTCTCCTACACAAAATGGTAACGATGAAGATGATGAGCAGTCTCGACGGAAAGCGATGAATTAACAATTACGTTCCTTGCGACGATTAAGGTGTTTCGTCAACCCAAAGAGAAACAAAGCTCCGATCAAAGAACATGTTAATATGATAATAATAGTCGTTACCGGCATGTTACAAGCTGTAAACAATGGATCAGATGATGTATTCTATACACAGTCTGTATATAGGCAGCTCACCATCAGTTACTAATTAGGTAAATATAGCATACGTTAGAGAGTGATAATTGTGCGTGGCAGTATATATTAACAAATCACGACCTTATCATGGTATACTCCGTATTTAAAGAGGTGTGAATATTGAAGCCTTCAAAATGAGATGTAAAGCGGTGTTACCGAGGCTTGTCGGAAACATCTGGTGTAGCGCAGGGGCAGATTCAGCCGGCGGCAGGGGATGGGGCCTGAAAGGGGGCATAATTCGTAAGAAAATATTTAGCGCCGAATCACTGGCAGCCAGCCGGTGTGACCGCGCCGTTTGTCCTACCAGTTTCGTTTGTCCGTCGGACATAATATGCGGGTTTTCTGCTCGCACGGATCGTCCGTGACTCGCACGGATCGTCCGAGGGACGATCCGTGCGGTTTGCTATCCGCACATTTTGTCCCCCCATTGTTTTACGTGTATATTTGATAAAAGGAAGCAACTCGGCAAATCAATGTATTTAGACTCATTGTAAATGATGTGGTTGACATTTTTTCTAGAAATTACATAATAATAACTCTACAATTTTTTTAAAGCAAATGGGCCAGTCCTTTTGAAAGGAGATGTGAATATTTTCTTTAAAACCTTTATTTTATGAAGGCATACTCGTGATATCGGCCCCACAACTGTTGTAATCGATTATACTTTTGTACGTGGCTTCGTACATCAACCAACTCACTACTAGTATATACTCGTGATACAGGCCCAGCTCCAAGTAATTGTATTGGGGGCGTTTCGAGGTTTAATGAAGGAGTTAAATGGGAAATAAAAGTGATTACAAATGGGGTTGAAAGTGAGTGGGGGAGGCTAGAGATAAGGTAGAGCGTAGCACAAATTGGCGGATGCTCAGGGGGTAGGGGCATTTAATTACGGTCAGATGAGCATATTTTAATACCTTATTCATAACACTGCACTGTTAGAACGGTGTTTAAAATATCACTGTTTAAAAGAATGTTGTTTAAAAAAGTAAACAACGTTGTTCAAAATCGAAAAATCAGTGCTCGATTGACTTAAACAACTATGTATTAAAAGACAAAAATATTTAATTAAACAGAGTTGTTTAAAAAGTCCCGGGGGCGTCGTTGATATTTTCTCGATACGCGATTGCAATTTGCGCACACACATGCGATATGCACAAAGTACGTATATAATACATGGCGGAACAAGGGCAAGGCGATGACTTGGTTCTTCTCGGCTTCGAGTTTAGGTGAAGTTATAGAGAAGTTATAGAGACAAATAATAATGTTGTCTGTCACTGCCATGAATATGATGAACAAATGTTGAAGTAAATTGGCAACAAGCTCTGCATGTTACAGTGTATAAATCGTTGTGATTATTGCAGGAGTGGTTCCAGTAGGTCATTTCACAAATTCAAACAACCAGATAATAACCATTAAACAGTTCTGTTTAAAATTTAAGCAACTCCTTTTAAACAACCCAGTTGTGCAGTAATATTGAATAAACAACAGTTGCTTAATAATTTAAACATTATTGTTTAACATTTACACAACTTGCTTTAAACAACCGAGTTGTGCAATGTTATTACTAAACAACTGTTGTTTAAAAGGTTTCCTAATTTTTAAACAACTAAGTGTTCAAAATGTAAACAACCTTAATTTGTTTAATTTTTAAACAACGTTGAGCGATTCACCGGTTAACTCGGGGATGTTTAAAATTTTAAACAACTTGTTTAATTTATTTCTAACAGTGTGGCAGGTCACTAATTGGCGTATGGTCCAAGGGGCGGAGTCCCCGGAAGCGCAGGGGTTTTAGGCTTTAAAATTAAGGTCAGATTAGCATCCAGGGGCCAGCCTTAGGTCCCAAGGTGGGGTCCAGGGGGCAAAGCCCCCGGAAGCACAGGGGTATGGGCATTTAATTACGGTCACATGAGCATACTTTCTTTTCTATTTCTTTTTATTTAATTCTCTTTAATATACTTTTTCAAAAGTGTGTGTTGGCGGGGGGGGGGGGGGCCCAAGCCAGCCGAAGTAGGCCTCTAAATAGTAAATAAGCACATTTCTTGCCTGACTGTAAATTTTGAAATTTGTTATTCTCCCACAAACGCATAAAAAGTAAAATTTACTAAAAAGTGTGGAAAACCCCGGAAAATTAGACCGTTTCAGCAGCATCTGTAAATCACTGGCATCAAATTAGAACAAAAAATTCACTTTTAAAGTTTATTTTGGTGGGGGGGGGGGGGGTAGCAACTGGCTGATTACTTAGACCTATGGTGTCGAGGGGCTCTTTCTTTATTTTTGTTCGGTAATAAATAAGGTTAGTTTATGTGGGTGTCACTCAGGCGCGGACATACGGGGGGCGACGGACCCGCCCCCCCCCCCCCCTCTTTGAAAAAAAAAATGAAAGGAAAGAAAAAGAAAGGAAAGGAAAAAGAAAAGAAAGAAGGGCTAAAAACACGAGTTAGAAGTGGACCGATCAAGGCGCTCACTTATCCGTATCAGGGGAAAATACACGGGGGCTCGGGGTGAATCAGCCCCCGAAATGCCAAAAAGAGCCCCCGAAAGTCATACAAGTAGCCCCCGAAATTTTTAAAGTATTTTTTCCCTGATCCGTATATAGGACAAGGCCCTGGGGCAGCTAGCCATACTCCGATATTTGGGTCGTTTTCCGATCAGAACTAGCCCTAACTATCATTCCAGGATTTTGTTTCAGAACCTGAGACAAAGTCACCCAATCCCTTTAAGTTTCAAAAAGTAGACTTCATTGACCTGTACATAGGCTTAGGAACCGGGGGGTGCTTGGGGGCACAGCCCCCCCCCCCAAAAAAATATATATTGGGGGGCTCAGATATCATTGAGCCCCCCCCCCCCCACAATATTTCGGCCGGGCTCGGTTATTATGAGCCCCCCCCCCCCCCCCCTCCCCAATATTTTGTTCGTGCTGATGAGTTGAGGGAAGTGTATGCCGGAGATATTGACTTTGTAGCATTAACTCGGCAGCTAACAAACCTCCAAGACGTGTATGACGATGAGAGCCTGTTTCAAATCGAGCAAAGCTAGGTTCCATGCAATCGAAACCGGGCTGACAAGATTAAACTTTAACAAAGCAGAAACACGAAGTTGAAAACCATCCAGAGACTCCCAATAAATTGCGTTACTTATTAATTAATTATTTCATTACAAATCTTTATTCTCATTTTTCTAATAAAGACTATAACTGATTTTCTTATAAATTTGAAGATATTTATGGCGTATATATTCAATATGAATGAACGCCACAAAACATTTACCAACAACAACAACAACGATGAGAGGAAACCTATCAAATACATTAAAACAATCTGTGAGATTTTCAACAACAGTCCAATCTATAAGAGATCATTCTCAGAGGTACACATTCTTCTTCTCATTTACCTTACCATCCCGGTTACAACGGCAACTTGCGAGAGAACATTCTCTGTCTTGAAAGGGATCAAAACTTATCTGATAAGTACAATGACCCAAAGAAAGCTCAACCAAAGCTTAATATTACTCATATATAAATCTCGTACAGATAAACTGGACTTGAAAAATATTGCCCAAAACTTTGTTTCCAGGAACACAAGAAGACAAAACTTCTTTGGCACATTTGTCTGAGGCTGCATGTGCACCTCAAAAGAAGAAAAGTCTGAAATTTTTCGCCGCGATGACATAGACGAGGAACAAAGTATTTATTTACAGGTGCAAATTAAAGAAGTATATTTTTTGGGTGGTGCCACATTTCAGTTTTTAAATATGTCCGTTTATAGGCATTACAATAAAAGTTTTGTTTTTCACGTTCCTGGGGTATTATTTTTTCCAAAGGTGTTAAATGTGTGTTATTTTAACACCTAGTACTTTGTCTTACTTAATAAAAATAAACTGAATATCTTACAATTTAACGATTTCTTCAAGTAGGCCTACTTTTATTAATTTCTTCAACTGCTTAAAATTAAGGCTACAAATGCTTTGTTACTGTAGAGCTGTAGTGTGAACAGGCTACTTAGTAATTCACATTTATAGATTGGTGCACATCATTATGCTTGATCATCCTCTCCTATCTGTTTGTTGTCATTCCTCTGTTAGTCATCCTTTATTTGCTACCTATGATATTTGAATATTCATTATTTCCTTTTATTATATAAATGAACATGTAAATACCTATTTATGCAAAATAAACCCTGGAGGTTTAAAGTTGTAAAGCCCAGGGCAGTTCAACACACGCAATCATGAAATAAGGGTGTCTTTATCGAAGTGTCTCTGTAAGTTTAGAACCACGCCTACCCGCTCAGGCCACCCTACATTCAGGGGCGTCGCTAAAGGGGGGGGGGGGGGGTGGTGTGAGGTTGAAGCCGGTGGGATTTTTTTTATGTCGGTCGGCCAGCAATTTTTTCCCCTTCGAACTGTGACTTTTTATCGGACAAAGAAACATTTTTGAAAATTCACACAATGATTTAGAGTCGGTACAATGAATCGTCTTCTTTTTCTAATAATTTAATGAAACGTCGAAGCTCCTGCGCTTCGCGCGAGAGGGGGAAAACTGAATTCAGACACTTAGGGTTAAGAGTATAGAGAACGGTATACAACAAATCGTCTTCTTTCTATAATAATTTAATGAAACGTCTAAGCTTTCGCGCTTCGCGTGGGACGGGGAAACTGAATTCAGACAAGGATTAAGAGTCGAGAACGGTACAACAAATCGTCTTCTTTTCATAATAATTTAATGAAACGTCTAAGCTACCGCGCTTCGCGCGGGAGGCCTTTCACCCACCCCTACCCCACCTAGGGAGCGTTTCGCGTGCTCTTTAAGTGATTCGCTTGCCCAATACCGCCCCTCCCTTAAATAAGATCCTACCTACGCGCCTGCATTAAAATATAATAGCTAGGATGCTTACTAAGTTGACGAAATAATTTGTATATTTATGTCGTCGACGAAAATGACCATTTGCGCATAACAATTTAGCCTTTGGCCTCGGGTTAATAGTGTTACATTTGTAGATATTGGGACATTTAATTTTGTCGGTAATTGGTGGCTTGTTTTGTCGGTAATCGTTGGCCTCTATACCACCCCCCCCCCCCCCACTGAAAAAGGTCTAGCGACGCCCCTGACGACACATCAGGCCTATACTTGCGTTTTGTGAGAGGCTCAAGTATCCGGGCCAGCTATTTATAGTTGAGTAATTTTTGAAGAAAAACAAAACGAGTACTCGCTCTCCAATCGTATTGG